AATACTCTTCAAAGATAAAATATAAATAGGTGTGAAATATGCGGTTAGAATTCTTATTTCTTATTTTTTTAAATGAATGTATCCTTTTGTATTCGTTTATTAAAAATTCAATCTCTAATTTGTACCAAAATGCTATTGATAAATATCTTTATTGTACTTATCGTTTGTATCCCAATAATGTTATTATTTTCTCAAATTACTTTAAAGCATATATAATGCTCCTTAAAAATAAATGTATGTTATTATCATTATCACTTTGACTTTATTTACTTTATCTCTAGCAAAAATCGATTTACACCATATTATTTTTTCCCGTCTGCTATCTGTAAGCCGAATCGACTGGGAACTGCCATCCAATATTTGCTATGTGCGAGCTGGCTGGCCGAAAGGCGACTCCTAAACACGTCTGCATTCGATGAATCGATTCGATTTCGTGTTTACATACAAATTGACATAATTTGTTTATAAATGTTTAATGATCGGCGGGTGACCAGGCCCAGACGCAGATTGTTTACCATTTGCAATTGTGCAAATACACAAATATACAAAGCGAAAAAGAACATGCTAATGCAGATATCATAATACGAATCGCTCTTGTGACATTTGCTGCCATAAATTATAATACTTTATGCACCGGACGCAAGAATTGTTCAACATAAAATCAGGCAATTTATAAATAGGTGATATTTATTAATTGAACAAACGCCGACACAATAATTAGATTTATTTACAAGTCTAACTTGTTGGCAACCGACAAACAAAAAGCAAAAACCAAATCACATAAATAAAACCCATGAAATTCGCAAATCCAGAAAACCGTGCGATTAAAACTGGATATGCATATCCTTAACTTTTTTCAATATCAATTTTATTATTGTAGAAATGCTGAAATTATCGTATTGATTGCATAACACCCAAATCATCAGCCAGAAGAAGAAGAAAACAAATGCGCAGCCGGGAACGATTTGGAAAAAAAAGGAATAATAAAGGGGAAAAAATTAATTAACATATTTTTATATTAACTTGTCTTGACGAAAGCCATCCAAGCGTTTGCATATAATTAAGGGATTTATGTACGCAACAGCATTAAGATTCGCAGATAATAACAGTGTCTATTTAAATAAAGAAATAAATTGGGAAGAAACGTCATGGTTCTTAGAAAAGTTTAACTAAGGTAACGTAAGGTTTTAATAAAGATTTTGTAAACAAAAGTATTGTTGTGGAAACGGTATAAGTTTTAACATTATTACATATTTGGGAAAATAAAAAAGATTGTTCTCTGAATATCTTTTTGATCAAAAGATTTCTTTCTCCGTTTTAAAATGTTATTATAATTTTAAAACATTTTTAAGTTAACTTTCACGTATAAACACGAATAAATTTTAATGGATATAGAATGAATGATTAAACGAAGCTTAAAATTCTTAAAATTAAGATTGATCAATTTACTTACCTTGTTCACTCTTTAAATTTAATAAGTATCAACACGTTTAAAGACTTGGCACAAACCTTAAAATTACTCAGTAAAAAAAAATTAAATCTTTTGCGAAAAGATTCGGCACACTTTCCGAAAGTTCTGGTTTCGCCCCTCCAGATTTGTATATGTGTTTGAAACAGCTTATGGGCGGTTCAAGCGAAAAATCAAAAACCCAACCCATTCGCGTTTCAACTGACGCAAATGAAGGCACCATAAATTATATATATATCACCGATCACCTATATCGATCGATATCGACCCCCGGCCAATACATATACATAAGTGCATTATTAGCGCTTTCATGGAACTGAAAATGGAAATGTCAAATGGGCGCTGGATATACAGAGTGCGTAGAAATAATAGACTGCCGAGTGCCGACTGTCGACTTTTGACCAAAGTCGAGTAGATCGGTCTCTCTGACACATTGGCATATATAGCCGCCTGGCCATTACAATTATTATTACATATTAACATTTGTAGCATTCTTACATACTTAATACATTATTACAGTAATTTAATAACATGTTCTCATGGTCAACCTGCTGTTCTGGGTGCTCTGGCTGCTCTGGAGTGCCAAGTGGATTCCATCCGAGTGCTGGAGTATCGCCCCGCTGCATATTTTAAAGAGCCGCAGCGATTACATTGTAGCCAAGAGCCAATAGTTAAGAACCAACAACAACAACAGGAGGTCATAATGAACGACACTTTACGGGCAATCCGCTGTAGTTCCATTGATGGCTCAATGGGGTTCCGTTCCCGGTCAAATCAAATGGAATCAAATCGCAGATACAGCTACAGATACAAACATCAAATATCACGATTTTCAGCTGTCACCCTGAGTTGTCTTAGATGCGGATGCGGACATTTGGTATGGTTTCGTTTGGTTTCGTTTGGTCTGGAAAGTGAAATTGCATCGGTCTAATTATAACACGTGATATCATCGGACGCGCATGATTTATGCGCAACTGCACCAGATCCGGCAACAACAGTCCAGAAGCCCAGAACCTGATTGGATTGTCTTGGATTATGCACCACCGCCGCCCCGGCAGATGGAGGAGCTCAAGTTCAATGTGGAAGCGACTAATCCGAGCCGCCAGACAAGGCGAACCCTTGAAAATGGAAGCGCCTCAATCGCCATCTAATGCAGAGAGAAAACACTTTTAAACTATAGCTACCTTATATAAGTATATGGAAAATTAAACAAAGTATTTTAATTCCTTCTTAACGGTGATTTATTTATGACAACACTTAAATAAATCAACAAAAAAAGTATTTAAAAATAAAATACAATTTAAAACTTTGGCATTCAATAAATATAGATTTTAAAACAAAGCAAATATTTTTTAAATTTAATTTCACTTGGTTTTCTACTAAAGTTTCCATTTAAAAGACTGTTGTTTGAACGTAAAGTACATAGTATCCTAAAATTTCTTAAAGAGTAGTCAATTTGCAAAACTGTTCCCATTTCCCACCGTGTAGGGGGCCTCCATCATCCACCCGATACGCCTCTGGACACCCAAAACCGCAAACCTCGACGTGCAAATGTCTATGCAAATGCGGCACCCCCAACACCTGGTATCCCCTCACCATCGAATTGTGGCGGCTTTTGCACAAACAATTCCATTTCGCTTTTAATTTCTTCGCGCAGCGTTTTTCGTGTGTGTTTGTCAACTAAATTGGGTCTAGTTTATGCGGTTTTTATGAATCTGACCTTAGTCATGATCATGAAATGCTCACTGCAATTAGGGCATGAATGGGGAAACTCAGTGCCAGTTACCCAGTGGAAAAAGGGGCTGAAAATTGGATAACAAGAGCAGGAGATTGGGGTGATTGTGGGAGATGAATTTCAATTGTACCCAAAGTATCTCAGCAGAAGAATCAATTGAAAGCAAAATTCTAAAATATTATAATAGCTTAAAAATGCTATTTATATTACTAGAAGATTATGAGAAAATTCTAAGTTTTTAATTGAATTTATTACGTAAATTCCAATAAGGCTTTATCATTTTAGAAACACTACAAGGGATGACACAAATGGCTCTAAACTTAATTTAATGCGAATGTTTTACCGCGACAATGACTTGACAGAAGCTAACGAACCTAAATCTTATTTGATTGACTGCGTTGAGTTCCCAAACCGACATTCGATGCCCGACACGTGACAGTGGGCTACGTTTTCGTTCTTTGCCCCGATCGCCTGGCGATGATATGAACCCCAAAACGGCCGACTATTGACACATTGGCTGGTCGGGCTTCAAACAAGCTCTAAATCAAGTTCAAAGTCAAACTAATTATCAGCAATTTAGCTAATCAATAATAACAGCCAGCGAGCGCACACAAATAGAAAAATCATACCGAGCGGCAAACGCCCAAAAAACATGAAACATGTTTGGTTTAAGTTTGGGTTTATATTTAGGTTTTCTACTTTAGTTTGGTCAGTTCGCCAAAACAAAGCGCCTCGACTAGCCAAACTACTTACACCGACTGACTCCGCCAAGTCCCACACAACACACATGAATGCAAATAAATAATTAAAGGCAAATACAGCAGCAGCAAATCAACGCGGCCAGCAATATTTTGGCAGGGAACTCGTTTAATTTGCATAAAGTCGCACAAATAAAAACGATGCAATTAAAAAGGCGCGCGCGTAGATCCAGTCAGCTGATGATGGGTTCGGATTGGCTGGAGTTGGATTGGGAAAAAATATGGCCAAAAAGGGGTGGCAACGGGGGAGGGGGATCAGCAGCAACTGGAGCCGGCAGTCGGGTAAATTTGAATACATTTTTTATATGCACTTTGTTGTTTAATATTGCTCGGAATTCAGGAATCGGAATCGGAATCCGCCGTCTCGAAACTAGTTCGTCGCAGAATTAGTGCAGTAAATATACAAAAAAAAAAAGAATTGTATAAAAATATGCACGCCTGTGTGAGAGATAAATATGTATGTACTACTAAAATGAGCTTTATTTAGCGTGTTCTATTGAAAGGACAATAAACTCTCGGCAAAGCGTCAAGGTCAACCGCATCGCATTAGAAGACTGCGATCGATTCTTATTCGGGTCGCTTTAGACATCTGTATTTCGATTCTAAATTCGGTTCAACTCGATTGTTTTGGGTATGCAAATTGCACAAGAATTGACAACTGATCATCTCAACTGGGCGGTCATAAATAATCACAGCAATGCGAAAAAGCATTTCATTTTAACTCAAATTTACAATTAAATTTTATTAATTTTCTAAGTATTTTAAATTAATTTAGATTTCTTTATGTATCGAAATTTAAAATCTGACCACACGTCATAAAATAAAAGAATACATTATTTTATTTTTTTTTGTATTTTGTCTCAAATTATTTTTTTGTGGTTCACGGCAGGACGCAGATCAGAACGATAAAGCCATAAATACTACTCCTACTCCTAGCAACTATCGTATATTCCTCAGCAAATACCGGCGATGCTGTTCCGAGGAGCAGCTTATGCGCAGGGATGAGCCGCTCAGCCGATCGGCTCAGCGGCTCATCCCAGCGCATAAGCTTTTAAGGGATCCCCAATTGTCCGACTCTAACAGCAAGGATATCCACAGTAGCAGCCGCCACAGGGTCCACAGGCATAGCATGGTCCGCAGACATTGGGTCCAAAGCAGGGACCACATCCTCCGCCGCAGGGTCCACAGCACGGTCCGCAGGGCCCACAGCAGGGTCCACAGCAAGGTCCACAAGGTCCGCAACACATGATTAATCCGTAAAGTTTCTAAAGAAAATAAAAAACGTTTCCGAAGTTTCATACAATTTGTTCTTATAATTTTTTTTTACTTTTTCACTCACTTTGAACCAAACAAAAAGAAATAATTTGAGACTACACAACAAATTTAGATGTGTTCAGGCCGAAAGGACAAATAATAATGATTCAAAAACGGAAACACAGGGGTATATGGGTTCGAAAGGTTTGACAGACGAATCCTAAGGTTGCTTTATAAATTGTTTTTAAATTCAAAAAACTAGAAGTTTTGTAACTAGGGAGTTACTCATACATTTTTCTTCGATTCTACAAGCGGGAGGTCACTATTTTTCCAGTGCATTGTAACACATAAAGTGAGTAAATGAGATTTAAATTTTTGTTTTGTGGCCGGATCATGTGTTCATTGCACCCGAATCCCGGGTGAAGTTCGCTGTGAATCGCTGCCGGTTCTCAAGTCGAGTTCTGCGCTGCAGTTTTGTTTACTCTTGATTTTGTCGTACTTTTTGATTAAGTGCATGGCGCATAGCCGATTGTCGCTGGAGTCGCAGTCGAAATCGGAATCAGAGAATCGGGGCTGAACGGGTATACTATACGTATATGCAAGTGTATATAGAGTTCATTATCTGACCGAACCGAAGAGCCGTGTGTTGTTTTCGAGCCAAGAATGTCGCATTGAAAGAGGTCAATCACCAGCGTCGCGATTGCGCCTTGGATGTCACTGGGGTAATTGAGTGCAATTTATTTTATTTGCTAACGATTTTACGACACTACGATTTCGGTTAATTAACTCTACTCCCCAAAAAGCAGGAAGCCAACTAGCTGACAGAGTTTACCGGAGTTCCAGTCCCCAAATGAAACCACACTCACACACACAGTGTACCCTTCCTAGCCAAAGTATATGCTCTTATACAATGATTTGTCTTTGTGCATGACTGACTCGACCGGAGCATTCGGGCAGAAAAGTATGGGTTGCAAATAAAAAGCGCATAATAGGCGTTTAAATGCAATTTTCTCGGCAAAATGGTCCGGGCGAAATATCAAAAATTCGAATTATATGTTTTGCAGCATGTTGATTAGAATGAAATATGTGTGTGAGAGTGGAGGGTCGAGCGAGCAGCAGCAAAAACCCCGTCGACAAGCCGCACAGAAGTCCTCTCCCTTCTAGCAGAAATATTTTTGGTAGCATCTCGCATCCGATGAGACGGACAGGTCCAACTCAAAGTCGGTCTGCTTGTTCTTTTTCAGCACGGAGAAAAAGCGTTTTTTATTTTCAGCCCCACATAAATCTTAATAACAATTTGTATACTATTTTGTAAAGTCTCTAGTAACATTTTTTTTTAAAATGTAGACGATATTATACTGAAATAAAAATCAATGAAAATCAATCAAAAATTACAATAACCACCGAAAAAAGACAAATTAATTTTGATATATAATTTTAGAAAATTTGATTAGAAATCCGGAATAATGCCGACTTTGGTTTAATTTCTTACTGTGTGGGTTTCTGCTTTTTTTTTAGCCCGTGATGGATGGAACTCTGGTCAATAATTTTGTGAGGGTGCCGCCAAAAGGGCAGCAGACGCTGCTCTAACTTAGTTTTTTTCATATTTGGTCTTTGATGGTCTTTGTTTGAAATAGATTATTGGCAATACATATGTATACAAATATTTGTATTTCGTCTGGCGACGAGAGTTCAAGGATTTTTATTGGGTTCAGTGAACCAAATGTCTTTTCTCCGGCCGGAAATATCGAATTCGCTTTAATTATGGCCCCTCGCGCAACTTATTAATATAAGTTTGATGAAAAGTGAAACACAATGGGCACACACAGATGTCATCATCATCGGCTGGAAAGCGCTGAATAGTGCCGTCGAATATCCCAAGGAAATCAATATCCGCCTGCCGTAAGTGTGCGCCCTAATGACTTGGGGCGTGGCACTCAACAAAAGGGGTTAAAGGTGTATTCAGGTAACCCGAGCAGCCGACGAAAGTGAAGAAAGCATGTGCCGCCCCCTAGACCCCTTTAAAAGGGGCAGCTGAATCCTTGAAAAGGAAAAGTAAAGCGCATAATAACAAGAATCGAACTATACAACCAAGGATTAAAAGGAATAACTTTCTTAAAATTCGATTATTCTTGTATTAAACTTGAACCAAGTTGGAAAATTTAAAAAAACAAACTAATGGATCAATGAGATTCAATGAAATACATAACCGTGTGGCGTTTAAGTGCGCCATGATGACTTGTAGGCGTTCCAATTTAGGATCTCAATGGGTTAAAAGGGTAAAAAACGAATGAACGGAACCTGAGTAACCGAGGAAAGTGAAGAAATCGCGAGTTCTAGGCACGTGCCGCCCCCGAAAAGGATTCAGCTGTCTCTGAAAAGGAAAGTGATCGCTACGTGGCCCGATTGCGATCCAAATTCAGATCAAAATCAGAGGAGTGGAGGTCTGAGATTCTGATTGATCGTGCGACACGGGATGTGCGGATAAGGCTGCCGGGAATTCCTAAGAAAATGGCACACACACAAAAAACGCAGCACGCAAAAAAAGGGTGGAATACAATATAATAATAATAAGGAGCAAGGCAGCCGAGAGCTCGTATTATTTAATTTGGAACTGGGCCGTCCTTTTTTGTTCCCGTTTTTCTGGACCTCGGTATCAATGAATCGAAATGAAATAAAATTAAATGCGAATCCGAATGTCTCGATCGCGTGCGGCAACATTTTCACAGATTTCAGATTTCGAGTTTTGAGCTTTTTGCCCTCGATTTCTGATTCTGATTCTGCGTTTTGATTTGTGCCTTCTTTGATCGGTGCTTTTTTCTGTTACCTGTTTGTGTGTAATATCGGGGGTTGTATCTTCTGTTTAGGCTATAAATGGCATATTAATACACTTTTTATGTTTAACCCTTGACTGCTAGAGGGGTTGATAAAATAAAATCGTATATTTGCCATTTATGGGACAACCTAATGTTATTTATAAAGAATAGTTTAAGATGAAGAATTTTTTTTGTATATTTTGAAAGTATAGTAATTTTTGCCATTTAGTTGTTGTTAATTCAATTAGCTGCCCTAATTTTTGAAATTAAAATTAAAATTTATTCTTTAAATTTTATTTATTTTTCCTTTCAGAATTAAGTTATTAAGTAATCACTAATTATGAAGTAAAATTCTTAAAAAAAATACACAGATTACTGAGATTTGTAGGGTTATTCCTCATTTTTGTTGCCAAATATTTTTACCAATGTGATTATTTTTCATGTTTTTTCCCCCAGTCGGTTGATGACTAATACGCATGCAAGTTCCGCGAAAAAGGCCACCCCCGGGCCCCCTTTGCATTCCACAAATAGTTGCCTGCCAAATTGCAACTCAATTATAAATTGCAAAGAGGAAAATAAAAAATAAGAGGCGAAGCAACCGAAAAGCGAATTCGAAACCAAAGCCAAGAAAAAGCCCAAAAGAGTCGCAGTGTAAAATTGTAGCTTAGGCAGCGGCAAAAACTGCTAATTTAACTGCTAGTTTCGCATGCTAGCACACACACACACAAACGATGGCTGAAAAACATCAATGGAAATGCCATGAAAATGCAGTAGAGCTCTGGAAAATCCAAGAAATGTGCGAATACGAGGAAAATCTTCCGCGTTTGTGTAATGCAGGAAGATTTTGCATGATGTTTGCTTTTGTATTCGCTTTACATTTTCCCGGACTGCTGCCACAGATATATACATATGTATATACCAACATATATGGATGATAGTTTAGTACATTGATCACACTGATGTTCACTTCGAAAAATTTGGTTTATCATAATAATTATTAAAGGAAACCCATGAACAAACACTTTTGAACAACTTGTTGAATTTTTTCTAGCAACATATAGATTTTTGTATTGTAAATTAGAATTAAAAACTTGGAAAAATACTATAATTTTTCTTTAGTTTTTTTTTGTTACAGTTAAATAAATAAATTTAAAATATTGTTGAAAAGGTACAAAATGTTAATCACAAAAATAAAACAAGAAATTGTCACCTCGAAAAATCTAAAGGTAATATTTGAAACTATTACAACCTTATCGCCATTTTAAGGCTTTTTTACCCAGTGACTTTTAGTTGTATTGTTTTTTCAGTGCATTTAAGGCAAGCTGACAATTTACCGTGAGATTTGCATATGACGCCGAATTAATTGTGGATACCCTGGATGATCCGAAAGAATCGACTGGTCGAAACCGCTGGAAAATGGCGCTAAATCGATTATATTAATTTCTCTTGGAACGAGCGATCAAACGGATGGGAGATCGAAGATCCGAGAGCAAAAGCACAAGCTCCGCTTGGAAGAAAGCAGGTGAGAGCGGCGTTCGCTCGTAAAGAGCTCAACACATGACACCCCAGATGCGCCCGCTCCTTGGGAGAAGGTGGAGGGTGTGGGAAAGGGGGAGGTGGGCGAAAGGGGGAGGGGACAGCGTGCGAAAGTGAAATCGAACCTTCGCTGCCGGCGTTTTGCGCTTTTAGGCAGCAACAAAAACAACGAAGCCAGGCCGGTTTCAAAGTTTACAAGGGGCGCGACTGCGGCGCACAGTGTTTCAAAGTCCAGAAAATGTTACTGAAAACCAAAAAGTACATCCCTGTTAAAAAATTATTGCCCTACTTGCAAACAGAAGAGTTTTTATTAAAACCAACACATTAACTTTATAAGAAAACAAGAGAGAACGCTATAGTCGGGTGCCCCGACTATCAGATACCCGTTACTCAGCTAAAGGGAATGCGAAGGAGAAACTTTGATCCGCCGTAACTTTTTAACGAATGGTCCGATTTAAAAAATTTCTTCTACATTTCGATAGGTATTGATATACACAACAAAACTGCATTTTTACTTTTCCAATATATTGAAATTTTTAAAATCGTATATAAGCGATTGTGGGCGTTAGAGGGGGCGTGGCACCCTTTTGAAACAAACTTGCGCTGCGTAGGAACTCCTAGAATCTGCATGCAAAATGTCAATCCTCTAGCTTTTATAGTTTCCGAGATCTCAGCGTTCATACGGACAGACAGACAGACAGACAGACAGACGGACGGACAGACAGACGGACATGGCTAGATCGACTCGGCTAGTGATCCTGATCAAGAATATATATAGTTTATAGGGTCGGAAACGCTTCCTTCTACCTGTTACATACTTTTGCACGAATCTAATATACCCTTTTACTCTACGAGTA